TTGGTAATTCTTGCCTATTATACAAATTTTAGTTGCCTGTGCATTGAAATAGATTCCAATAGATCTTATGTTATTGCATTGCACTCGGCAAAACTCAGGATTCGAATTAGATGTTTTTCATTAATTTTATGCCAGTTCCTACCAGTCCATTTCTCTGGACCCAAATGGGAGTCAACCTAAGTTCAGATATTATCTGGCATTTCGGCCAAGAGCTCAGCGATCTAAAATGTCGCTTGATCCGATTTTTTTCCCAAGAGGTCTCGCAAAAAATTCGCTGCCACGAATTTTTAAAAGAAAGGAAAACGACTTTGAGAGGAAAAACATAGACGATTTCGTAGAAATAAGTAGCTTGCTATGATTTGATATTGGCTGATGAGATTAAATAAAAACGGCCTACGTGGATAAAGATCACTGGTACCAAACCGCCGTGACAATAGACGTGTGGCTAATCGAAGTCGAGCGATACCGTGTGCACTAGTAAAATGACTGGGTACAAGTGTCAGAGAAGAACCAGAGGGCATAGTTTCCAATGCTGTCGGGGCTGATACCACAATTTGCGCATCACTAAGATTGTAGTTCGCCTGCATTGATGAGTTGCTGGCTAACTCCAGCGATAGATTGGACCCAGCGATCGTAGTCATTTCTGCAGTCGTCACCGGCATTTGGGAAGGCAATGCCGGCGTTACTGAGGGATTAATGGTAAGCTCAGCGAGACCGGCAGACATAATGTGGCTGCCACCTACACCAGAGGAAGTGGAAGTAAAAGTGCTCCCAATAGCAGTGCTTGAATTCAGAATTCGGAGATAAGCGTCGCGGACCAATTGACGTTGAAGACTGTGAGAAAGACGAAAAGTGATCGCTTCCAAACAGAAAGGTCGAGATGGACCTGTGGAGACAGAAACATAAAATGAAAATTTAAAATAAGAAGAGTAAAATAAGACAAATTAACCCAATATAAACCAATAAAGTTTAAACTTCAACTCAAGAGTCATTGGACACACTCATACAAATGAATTTATGTGAATACAGTGGAGACTAAGCTATAAAAGTTGACGTCAAAAATTTATAGTTATAAGGTTAGCATTATAAGAAGTTAATATTGGACTTCTTCAGTGATAACTAGTAAATATAAGTTAAATCGAGCAAAGCTGAGATGATCGTATGCAGAAATGAAGTAGGAAACAAAAACCAATCCATGTCGTCGTTCGACCATATACAACACCCGAACCAAGTACAGTGAAAGGAAGCAATAAGCCTCATTAATAAATACTTCACAACTTCAAATGCATAAGATAGGTCATAGCCATTGACAAACGAATTTAGTAAATTTAAGTATGAACGAATTTATTAAAGTTTAGGATTAGATTACAGAATAGATCACGATTCGACTGTTGCTACACTGAAAGGCGATACTTAATCAGAAATACCAGTTAGATGAATAAATCCAAATAATTAGAGTAAAGTAATATATAGTCAATTCGAAATCTAAGAAAAAGTAGCTCAAAAGCATAGTCTCTCCGAACAATTAGAGAATATTCACGATACAGAGAGCTGCTCAATAGTCGCAAGCTGTGAACTCTAGCATCGTTCGCCATGGTGCTGATTCCAGGTTGAAACCTGCACCACAAATTAAGACCGACATAACACAAATGAGTGCACCACTCTTGGAGCTAAATGTCAGGTCTCACTATGCTAGTAGGACGCCAGTAAAACGTCTGCACCAAGTCTGCGGTTCGACGCTGGAAATTATCTCGACAACTATAGCATAGGACTCGTGACAAGGTGCATCTATCAGGGTCGCTCTGATAGTACGATCAAGTTATGAAAACGAAGTGAAATTATTCACTACTCAATTTTTTACCCACCTGCAACATTTGAGCCTGTTGGCCTACTTCCAGTTTCGACTTGCAGAAGCCCTGTAGTATGAGCAATTTGAGATGAGGACCCATCACTTGGCATCATCCCAAGGCCGGATATGTCGCCGACACCTCCTTGCATAAGTGATGTTCCTGAATATGTACCGAGGAGCATGCTACGCTCGTGAAGACCAGCCGAACCCGAGTCGTTCAGGCCATCAGCAGAGCCTCCATCCAACCCAGATCCTGAAGTCGTTTTTGAGGCTCCGATAAGTGTACTGATGGACATTGGCTGCAAATTGGCATGGCGGCGGGCAGTGCTGGCGCGGATTAGCGCAGCTTCATCGACATCATCCTCCGATGACATCTTGCTAGCATTAAGCTAGCATCCAGTAGATTGACAAAAAATAGAACAAAGATTTTAAAGGGACAGCCTGATAAATAGATAGAACAAAGTAGAGTTATGCATCCATTTTTATCAGATAGGCTACTAGGATATTTGAATGAACCCAGAAAATTTCTGCAAGACAATTAATTAGATGAAGTTATTTAGCGCATTAGCGCCGCCCGAACTTTCATATCCTTGTTTTTTCTGAAGATCAGCTGATTATTACATTGAGCTGCTAAATGAAAGACGAGTAAGTAATAAAGCTCAACATGCCTTATTAGCATGCAATTATACATATTGGCAAGCCTGAAATGTATCAAGCTAGACTAATGATATCAGAACTAACAAGCATCTATGCGAAGAAAAGTTGGGTTTCGAGGAATTTCTTGTTTCATAATTGTTGAGCTTACTTTCATTTCGATTGAATGTGTTGGGTGAAGAGATTCGATGGTCGGTTCTACCAGACGACGATGGCGGATTCCTCTTGGGCAGCTGTCAATTGTCTTTACCGGAAGATTCATGCTGACGTTGTTTCTGAGGCAATCTCCTACGATTCCGGTGAAAAGGTT